ATATATATATATATATATATATATATATATATATATATATATACATATATATATACATATATATATATATATATATATATATATATATATATATATATATATATATCGTTAAGCCTTTAATGACCGAACCACCACGTCAGTTACGGCCGATCCGACCCAATGAATATTCATATGTACGAATATTCTCATGCACAGAAATAAATGCACATCTTCCTATCTATCTCATAAATATACGTTGATCTATCTGTCTATCCGGTAGATTCGCATGTTTAGACTGACAGATATGCATTGATTTCTGTGGATATGCTTACCCGTATGTAAGAAATATTCATTGGAGGTCGGACGTCGCCAAAAAAATAAGAAACGGACCGTTAGTTTTTGCAATTCGCTCGAGTTTTAGAAGATCTTCGCTCACTTTTGCTCATGTTTTCGTCAAGAGGTTCACGATGTCTAAAATCCTTACCGAGATATATTTTCTCAAATTATTAAACTCTGGATTAACTCTATTGCTTCTGACGCGAGAAAGGGAAATATGAAACAAAAACCTATATACAGAATCTAGAAAAAAGGTTTTGATATGAATGGAATATGAATAAATCCCTTAAAATGTGAAAAATAAAAAAATGAGGATCACGTGCATGCTCTCCCGTGCTTGCGCTGTGCTGTTGGCCTCAAGCAAGCACAGGATACACTGATAAGATTTTCCCAAGGGTAAAAATATCCCAGGATATGTGTGTGATACCGCCAGCGCAATGGTGTAATCATATCTCACAAGACCAAAAAAAAAAAAAAAAAAAAAAAAAAAAAAAAAAAAAAAGTTCAACAAAATATAGGAATAAAAGAAAGGAATAAAACCCTTCTTTCTTTTCCTTTCCTCCCTTCCTCCCCTTCCCCCTCCAATCTTCTCTCGAATTTTCCCCGACTGTAAAGAAAGAAAAAAAATTGTGGCTTCACGAAATACCTCCATCGGAAGGTTAATTCCTCCTGTTCTAAATTCGACCTTATAGACCCGAGACAGACCTAACGAAATGCAAAAGAGAGACTAACTAACACAATACTAACATATAATAATAATATAATAATAATAATATAATATAATAATAATAATATAATATAATAATAATAATATGATATAATAATAATAATAATAATATAATAATAATAATATAATATAATAATAATAATATAATATAATAATGTAATATATAATATATAATATAATAATAATAATAATAACACAAAAGAAGTGGCAGATTTTGTCCATGATGTTGCACCATATTGCAAACCACACCCATACCATAAAAGGATGTTTACCCCCCAATATACAGAAATGACTTGCTTGTTTCTCTCTTTGCATCCTGCAGCGGAACTTGCAAAAAATCAGCTGACGACTGATAGTCCAAAAAGACATTGAAGAAAGGATATCTTTATGTAATTCTTTCTTTCTTTCTCTCTTTCGCTCTCTCTCTCTCTCTCTCTCTCTCTCTCTCTCTCTCTCTCTCTCTCTCTCTCTCTCTCTCTCTCTCTCTCTCTCTCTCTCTCTCTCTCTCTCTCTCTCTCTCTCTCTCTCTCTCTCTCTC